CCGACGCCGGCATGTGGTGTTTCTGCCACCTGGCGACCGCCGCCCCTGCATAATGTATCTCGGCCCCGCGCGGACACGGCGCTGGCGGCGTCCCCCCCCCCCCCGCCCCTGCAACCTTCGCCCAGCCGCGCTCCTAGCCCCGATACCTGCCGACCTTGTGACCCCGCCTCCCCTCCCCCTGTACCGCTGTCCTCCTCCCACGCACCCTCAGTTGACCACCGCCGCGGTGAAGGGGTACCGAGCAGTTCTGACAGCTGGCGAGGGGCGCTCTGTCCGCGGTTTAGTTCTCAGACGCGGAGAAGCCCGCCGGGCTGGGCCGGGCCGGATCTTGGAAGGCCTCGGGCCTCGAGGCCGGGCCGGGTTTTGGAAGGGCCTGGGGCCTGGAGGCCAGGCCGGGCCTCATCAGAAGAGCGGTTTTCTGGAACAGGTCGACTCACGGCGGGGGTTTGAACCCCGCCACCGGGGTCACGGAGGGTCCTCTGCCGGTCGGCGAGCTGGTTCCGGCGGCCGCAAAGCACACGGAAAAGCCTGCGAAGCACAGTTGGGCGGTGCTGTGTGGCAGGGTGACAGTGGCTTCGTCAGCTTCGCTTGATGTTTCCACGTGTTAAGCATTAAAGAAGTGAGTGATAACCCGTTCTGGTGGCTTTGCTGCTCCAGGTTTTCTCAAGCGTCCGTTATTCTAATTGTGTTTTCTGGCGTGCACAGGGTGGTTTCCATTTCCGGCAAACAGTTTGCGAAGGCCAACGACAGTGATAAAACATAATTTTAAATGGATGTGAAAGGATTTGAGCATGACGTTATGCGTTATGGAATTAGCAATGCCTCGTTCATGGCACGCTGCCGGAAGTGTGTTATGGCTTTGTGGCTCTGCTGTATGTAACGGCGGTATGTCGCCATGCAACGTACCGCCGTTGTATCGCCCGCCAGGAATGTTAGTGATGTTTGTTAGCCAGCCTCGTCTGGATAGCGGTCGCGGGCTCTCCTCGCGCTCCACCAGATCCTTCCGCACCTATTTCTCGTCCTAAGCAGCTGCATGCTTTCGGAACTTACCGTGCTTGTTCGAAGGTAAGCCGCACTGACCTTTCAGTGAGCCTCTAGCTTTGCTAGCGGGGCAGATCAAATCCGCCAGCCTCAGATTTGAGACCCGCTTGCGGCCCCCAAACTCGGACCTCAGTAATGCCGCGCCGGTCCTCAGCACTTGCACGATACGGCGGGAGCGGATATCGGGGTCAGGGCCACGCTCGCGCTACGCCGGCCCGGCTCGGCCGCGGTCGAATGACCCCCCCACCGATACGCTATGACTTTTGACCGATTGCTGATAAGCTCGCGAACTTTGGCCGGACAGGCGTGCGGTAGGTTTTATGTGATGCCTGCTTCACCATCTCGGCCCCACTCCTTTCACACGCCTACTCATCCATTCACTGCAGTTAGTCACAGTGCAGTGGAATGCAGCGGAGTGGAGTGCTTCTATGAGGTCGTGAACTCATAGGGGGAGGTGTCCCTTGCTATATATATATATATATATATATATATATATATATATATATATATATATATATATATATTTATATATATGTGTGTGTGTGTGTTCTGTTCTGTTCTATATAATGTTCTTTATATATATATATATATATATATATATATATATATAATATATATATATATATATATATGTATATATATGGTGTGTGTGTGTGTTCTGTTCTGTTCTGTATAATGTTCTTTATATATATATATATATATATATATATATAATATATACTATATATATATGGATATCATTCAGGTATATGATTTTCAAAGATAAAATGTATAACTACTACATAAAATTTCAAGACATTAAAATTGATGCAAAAACAGTCACTAAAACCATTTTCAAGTGGTCCAGACAGCCTCGAGGCTCTGCTCTGCGTCAGGTTGTGGCGGCTATCGTGAGGCTACAGACAGCCGGGAGTCCTGTGGCGGCCGTCAGCTGGTGACAGACAGCCTGGAGTCTGTGGCGACCGTCAGCTGGTGACAGACAGCCGGGAGTCTGTGGCGGCCGTTCAGCTGGTGAAAGACAGCCTGGAGTCTGTGGCGGCCGTCAGCTGATGACAGACAGCCGGGAGTCTGTGGGCGACCGTCAGCTGGTGACAGACAGCCGGGAGTCTGTGGCGGCCGTCAGCTGGTGACAGACAGCCTGGAGTCCTGTGGCGGCCGTCAGCTGATGACAGACCAGCCTGGAGTCCTGTGGCGGCCGTCAGCTGGTGACAGACAGTCGGTGAGTCTGTGGCGGCCGTCAGCTGGTGACAGACAGTCGGGAGTCTGTGGCGGCCGTCAGCTGGTGACAGACAGTCTGGAGTCTGTGGCGGCCGTCAGCTGTGGACAGACAGTCTGGAGTCTGTGGCGACCGTCAGCTGATGACAGACAGCCTGGAGTCTGTGGCGACCGTCAGCTGATGACAGACAGCCTGGAGTCTGTGGCGACCGTCAGCTGATGACAAGACAGCCTGGAGTCTGTGGCGACCGTCAGCTGATGAACAGACAGCCTGGAGTCCTGTGGCGGCCGTCAGCTGGTGACAGACAGTCTGGAGTCTGTGGCGGCCGTCAGCTGGTGACAGACAGTCTGGAGTCTGTGGCGGCCGTCAGCTGGTGACAGACAGCCTGGAGTCTGTGGCGACCGTCGGCTGATGACAGACAGCCTGGAGTCTGTGGCGAACCGTCAGCTGGTGACAGACAGTCGGGAGTCTGTGACGGCCGTCAGCTTGCTGACAGACAGCCTGGAGTCTGTGGCGGCCGTCAGCTAGTGATAGACAGCCTGGAGTCTGTGGCGACCGTCAGCTGGTGACAGACGGCCTGGAGTCTGTGGCGGGCCGTCAGCTGATGACAGACAGCCTGGAGTCTGTGGCGGCCGTCAGCTGATGACAGACGGCCTGGAGTCTGTGGCGGGCCGTCAGCTGATGACAGACAGTCGGGAGTCTGTGGCGGCCGTCAGCTGGTGACAGACAGCCTGGAGTCTGTGGCGACCGTCAGCTGGTGACAGACAGCCGGGGGTCTGTGGCGGCCGTCAGCTGGTGACAGACAGCCTGGAGTCTGTGCCGACCGTCAGCTGATGACAGACAGCCTGGAGTCTGTGGCGGCCGTCAGCTGGTGACAGACAGCCTGGAGTCTGTGGCGACCGTCAGCTGGTGACAGACAGCCTGGAGTCTGTGGCGACCGTCAGCTGGTGACAGACAGCCTGGAGTCTGTGGCGACCGTCAGCTGGTGCCAGACAGCCTGGAGTCTGTGGGCGGGCCGTCAGCTGGGTGACAGACAGCCTGGAGTCTGTGGCGACCGTCAGCTGATGACAGACAGCCTGGAGTCTGTGGCGGGCCGTCAGCTGGTGACAGCGGCCGGGTGTGTCGGCCGGTCAGCTGGTGACGGCGGGCCGGGTGTGTCGGCCGTCAGCTGGTGACAGCGGCCGGGCGTGTCGGCCGTCAGCTGGTGACAGACAGTCGGGAGTCTGTGGCGGCCGTCAGCTGATGACAAGACAGTCGGGAGTCTGTGGCGGCCGTCAGCTGGTGACAGCGGCCGGGTGTGTCGGCCAGCGCTGCCGCCAGTAGTCACGACGCCGAGCCGGTTCGGTTCCTGTCTCGTGCCGCACGCCCACCATTGCGTTCAACCGCAGCACCACAACCGGTGTTCTAGTCGCTGGCGTCACTCAGCGGCGTGCAGGGCGGCATTGGTCACAACCCCTGACGCCGACATTGTGTAGCGCGTCCGCTGTGGCGTCGCGTGGGAAGGTGTGTCTGCCGAGTCACCCTTGTTTCGTCAAGTTTGCCCCTCTGCCGCCCTTCTCTCCTGCCCCCTCCTCCCCCCCCCCGTCTTGCTCTTTTGTCTCAGGCCTCCCCTTCTCTCCCTTTTCTCTCAGGCCTCCCCTCTTTCCCTTTGCTCTCTGGCCGATCCTTCTCTCCCTCCCTCACTCCCTCACCACTCCTCCCACGTCTCTCAGCCTCACTCCCCGTCCGTTAACCCTCCCCATCCCTCATGTTTCACTCCGCTCCACTCTCCCTCCCCTTAACCCCTTCCCATCCCTCTCCATCAGCCGGAACCCATGCGACTGTTAACTGCTGATTGTGACTGTTGAGTGCTTGCGGACTGTTGATTGCCCTACATACGGTGCGCGCGAGCGCGCGTCTCCCGCGCCGTAAACACCGGCCGGACGTGTTCGCCGGCCGTGGGAGAGGCTCACGCTGATTATTGACCGCTCCCACGCCGCTGGTGTTATTGCTTCCGAGTCCAGCCATACGCCTATTGCTGACTCCAATGGCTTAATATGATATTGGGTTTATGTAAACGTATGCGGAGGATATTGCATAGAAATGAAGGGATGACATAATTGCTATCTTTTAGCGTTAAAAATGCAGCATTTCAGAAAGTTTTTCTCGTTGGTGCTTTTCGACACACTCATCTGGTAAGGCTATATAGCCTCAGCCCGCGTCTCACCCTGGCAAAGAGGATGGGCACCGTGAGGAAGCTAGCCCCGTACCTCTTGCTTCCCAGAAGACCACCCCCTACACCGTCGGTGCCTATGCTATTGTGCGCGCGAATGTAAGCGTTTTTTTCTCGCTGAGGTGCCTTAGAGGACACATGTCACGTTTAGGAAGGCTGACGAGCAAAATCGGGCTCAAAACTCATGGTTGTCCTGCATTTGCATGTTTGCCCGGAGAGCATGGCTCATTATACCACCCGTGGAGTTTGGGCTCTGTGGCCACGGCCGTAACATTGAGTTACCGCACCGTGTTTGAGTCGCGACACCACCTGGTGGACGCTTCGCAAACTACTACCGGACGCGGCCGCCCGGAGCTGGACACCCGCCAGCTCCGATGGGTTGGTTAGCTCGCTTCGTGGCTTGCGTCGTCGTGAGGGGATGGTGACCGCATTGAATCGAGTGCGTCTAAGCCTCCTGTTCTTTATGTTCGGCGCGCTCTCAGACTCGGCCGTTCGTTAATGGATGAGCTTTTAATCGATTTACACATTTATTAATAGGTTTGATATCAGTAACAAATATGTATGTGTGTTGCAATATAATAACTCAGCGTCGGATAACCTGTACCAAAGCCGAATGAGTAGCAATAGTAGTAATGGGATTTTGAGCGCGCGGTAACTGCGATGACTGAATAAGCGCGCAGCTAGTGGCGCGAAATTGGCCGCTATTCTGTCGTCAGGGGGCGGCGGCCCGATGTTGACCTCAGCTGGTGCTTGGGACCGCCATCATCGGCAGATGGGGCACGGCCGCTCGTTCAGCCACTGGCAAATTGGTCCGACTGGAATTCATATTGGCGGGGTGGCTGGGCGTGATGGCGCCGTCGTGGAATCGCCGGGCGTTGATGAGAGCAGCTATGCTCGGGGGGATGGAAGCTGCGTGCTCCGTGGCGCGTGCACGTTGGCTGCTGACGCGTGGTTCTGGTGCGCGCCTCGCTGCTCGACGGCTCGTTTAAACGGTCGGTAATGGAACGACCAGTCGCTGTTGATATTTTCGGCGTCACTGAGATGCGAACGAGCGTTTGCAGTCGTCAGATTACCGACGGCTTCGGAGGCTAAGCCGTCCATACATGATGCTCCCATATCCATAGCCAGGCATGCGTCCATGTCGATATGCGTGCACCACTTCGCCTTTCCCATTACGTCCGCCCTCCGCGCCGCCGCCGCCGCCGCCGCCGGTCGTCTCAGAACCCTTTCGTGGCGAGGTAGTTGCAGAGGTTGATGACGCAGTCGGCGCACTGCCGGCTGGTGACGGGGTCCTCGTAGAGGGCGACGACGACGACCCGTTCCGTGCGGCGCACGTACAGGCCCACCGTGCTGCGCTTGCAGCTGAAGAAGCGGTCGGGCTCGCCGTTCAGGTAGATGTACCGCGTGCCTGCGTGGTGCGGCCGCGGCGGTCAGTAGCGGGTCGGTGGTGATAGGCTGGTCCTGTCCCTGATCACAGCCTCTGTACTTCCTGAGACCTAAACCCCTCTAGTTTCCGAGCTGCTCGCCCGCGAAGTCGGGGAAGTGATTTCAAGGGCACCCAAGCGTACATGACGCCGTGATAACGTTATTCAATTCCTGTCATTCCATTAGTCACGCGGCAATCAACGCCAAGAAACACATAATCGCCGAGTCGGGTATATCTGGCGTTTGTGGGCACGATCTCCATATATAACAGCCGTCAAAAGACTCTCAACCAATATTATGCAAGATACGATAACCTAGTCAAGCCATGGCGTATTGTGGACTGTATTTGCTACACTGAGAAACTGAATTGTCTAGGGCAGTCCTTTTTACTTAAAAGTGTGCCAATAGTTATAAGTGAGCTTATTTCGTCACGGCTGATGCTTGCTTCAAAATCTGGAACATTCCCTTTAAACCACAGCACGTATCTGAAGCCCCTCCCCCTCCCCCTCCCCCTCCCCTCCCCCTCCCCCTCCCCTCCCCCTCCCCCTCCCCCTCCCCTCCCCCTCCCGCTGCCGGGCTCGGACCGAGCTGTGGCCTGTACCTGCTACTCGGATGCCGTCCTCGGCCAGCGACTGTCCGCCGTCCTTCAGGGACTCGATGACACGCAGCACTTCCTCCGGCTTCGGCTGCGGCAGCGTCGGCGACTGCGTCAGGCAGCGGCGGGTGTGGGGAGAACGTGTCGGTGGGGGATAGAGAGAAGAGAGCGGGAAGGAGGGCGATGGAGGGGAAGAGAAAGAGGGATAGGATGGTGGAGGGGGAGTGGCAGGGGATTTTGCAAAGAAGAGGAAGTGGGAGAAGGATAGGGCGGATAATGGGAGGGGAGAAGAGGTTGATGGAGGGGAGAAGAGAGCAAAAGCGGTGAAGGAGAGGGTGAAGAAGGAGAAGGAGACGACGAAAGAGGAGGAGAAGGAGAGGGTGGAGGAGGGGGGGGAGGGAGAACGAGAGGAGGGAAGAGTGGCTTGAGAAACGCAAGGGAGGTGGTGGTCAGCAGGCCCAAGGAAAGGCTGGCTGGGTGGGCTGCGGTGTCGAAGTGGGAGGCGAGAGAGTACGGGGCATGGCCGAAAGCACGAAAGCTGTACGTCCGTCTTACGGCCTTGCTGGGCGCCTGGTTTCAGAGGATCCAGGCTGGCTAAAATGCTGCCAGAATGCATGCGATTTATTGAATGGCACGGAAATTGATATGCTTACATTAACATCATTTTGCCACGAAAAAATTGAGATGGGATTACGCCATACGCATTCTGTGCGTTTGTGATCAAATTGCGTCTGTCGAAGATTTACGTGTGTTGCTGAAATAGGTTGGATTGTAAAGCATGAACGATGATGCACGCACTTACGCACAGCACGGGCGGCGAGCATAGTGATTCCATCACATTGTCACCTCCAGTGCGTAGCTTTAACCACATGTGCTCTCGCCTTCGTCAACCTCTCGGCCTGATACCTAAATTCATCATTCTCTCATCCCCTAGCTGTGTCACTCTTTCAAAATGACTCCGTCTTTTCTTTGCTCGACTCTGAGCACAGATGGTGTCATCACACTCACCTCAAATCCGCGACTCTGAGCCCAGACGACTCCGTCGTCTCCGGCGATCAAGGCGTCCCGCACTGACCCTGTGGCGATCAGCTGTTTGTTGACGTAATCCAGCCACGACATAGTTTCAAGAAACGCGCCGACCGCTCGGTCACGTGCCTGGCATGAAGAAGCGCCAGGTAGTGGCAGGCCTCTGGAGGAAGCCTATATATAAGCCTATATATAAGCCTATATGGCGTTGGCGATGGCTGAGGCTCTGTTTCTTGTTTCTTTCTGTTGTGATGGAATGGTTATTGCTTACGTGCTTAGCTGATCAGCAGGATATCTTTGAACAGAGTGGAGCAAGCGAAGAACACGCAATGTGAACGCTTGTGTTTAATGCAGGGGTAATGCCCGGAAATTATCAAACGTAATGTATTTTGTTTATGGCACGTAATCCGCGTGATGTTATGACAACTTGACCTCCATTATATCAGTCGGTTTGACCGCTTTAACCTCGGTCATGCACACCGCGCATTTCAGTGGTAACGTCCTTTTTGCCTGCTGTCATGCGTGTTGGACGAGATTGTCTGTGTCGCAGAACCGTTGGATTATTGACTGGACATTTTGCATTTTACTTGTTGTAGTGCCAGCTCTTGGTCGTTGTAGGCCGAACACTGAATCAGATCGGCTTCTTTTATTTTCCTGTCCTTCCAACACACCCTTCGTACCGTTCGCACCACTCCCAAGAAAACGCGACTTAATTCTGTGGACACTTCGCTCCTATCCTAGCAACGTCAAACCCAACGCTCCACCGCTCGCTTCGCTCCTTTCCACTAGTAGTTCTTGCTCTTGAGGAAGTCGGAGAACTTCTCCACCACGGCTGCGCACTCGCCGTGCTGCACGGGGTCCGCGTACAGCGCCACCACGACCGTCTTCGACGTCATGGAGGCGTGCAGACCCACCTTGGCCTTCTTGGCGCGGATGCACTTGTTGGCCACGCCCGACAGGAATATGTACTTGGTGCCTGATGGGGGAGAGGGGGGAGTTACAGCGGAGGTGTTCGAACAAACGGGTGTTAAGAGGTGAAAAAGTCTGCATCAAATTTATCCCCCGCCCACTTTTTTGGAAACTTAACGCATATTGCGTCTATTGTGGTGACATCTGTATGTTAACTTTAAAGTGGACTTGGCAATCGCCCTTTCTTTCGGCAGTCCCACCACGCTTCACTTGACCGCGGGGCGGAGTGATGATGAACTTAAGTGGTGAATCGTCGAGGTGAGCCGTTGAAGATAAAGCGGCGGTATGAAGTGGGAGATGCGGCGATCGTAGGTCAAGTGGAGTCTGCGTCAAACGCAAGTCATGTTAAGAATTGGTAAAAGTCTGCATCAAATGCAAGCCATGTTAAGAAGTAATAGAAGTCTGCGTCAAGTGCAAGTGATGCTAAGAAGTAGTAAAAGTCTGCGTAAAATTTAAGGCAGTTTTAGGGCAAAATGGGGATCCTTTTCCACGTAATCTAGGCAATCTGCCGTTAAATCACCCACGGCACGCCCTTCACCGTGACTGCGAGGCCCACCAAGAGTCCACACGAACTACTCACATCTAAGGCGTTTCCGACCGCCGCAAGCGTATGCACCTAGCAGGCGTACGCACGCCGGGCTTCCTTCACCTGAAAAGTGTACTCCTCCCGCGGTGAGGCCCCCGCCGCCGTCTTTGATGCCCTTGATGATGGGGAGCAGCTCCTGTTTGGTGGCCTGAAACGTCAGCACACGCCTGGGGTCACGGCAGGTCGTGGTGCTGAGATGCCTCTCGTTCGCCAACGCGGAACTCGAAACGACGGTCCGGCCCTTGGCCTGGAGTAAGCAGTGATCTTTTGTGACGGGCGTTAAAGGCGCGTAGTCGGCAGCGATTTGAAAATCCTTTTTTAAGGAGACGCGACGCACGTCGCTACGTCACTTTTTGAACCGCCATCTTCATTTAGCTCTATGAACCGACTGCATTGGCTATAATAGTGCTCAGGGGCCATGGCGCAACCAGGATTCGAACCTGGGCTCCCACACGGGAGTCCGGCGCGCCAACCACTCAGCCATTACGCCCCCTAAGCTGAAAGTCGCGCGCTTCGCGTGAAAGTGCGCTTCGCGTGAAATTTCACGTTCTCTTTGAAGTGCGAGAAGTTACGTTTGCCGGGGCGAAAAGCTGTGCCGCCATTGTACCGATCATATTTATGCGCTACTGGTCGTTTGGTCATTAGTAACTTGTGACTGGCTCGTTGAGAACCGTGAGAAATCCCAACGCCAGCATTCCACACGCGAAGTTCGCATATTACTCAACGAACAGACCCGTGGTATGTCACGTCCAACGTTCACCGTGGGGTACGTCGGAAGTCCTGCCCAGATTGCTTCAAGTCGCCCACGGATCGCGCAGTACATCCCCTTTTCTGGCCGTGCGATTTGAAAGCCGTGGCCTGCCTCGCTCTTTGCGGCCACGCGGCGCCCGCTCAGGCCGGCCACGCGGCAGAATCGGGGCTGCAACGTCCGCCGGCTTGGTATTCGCCGGAAGTCCACGGCGCGTTCCGCTGCGGTTTGCTGTCGCCGTCAGCTGTCGCGCGGGCCCACTGTTTGCGCGTGGGATGTGGGGCGAACGGATCACATTTGCCGCGAGGCGGCGCCCGGCGAAAACAGCCGGGCGGACCTGTGTCCGGCTCCGCCGCGGCGGGATCGATGCCGTCTCGAAGTCGCAACACGTGGGGCCGGCGCCGACGCCGACTCTGACTCTGACTGACTCCGACTCCAACTCCGACTCCCACTCTGACTCCCACTCCGATGGTGATTCTGACTCCGACTCCGACTCTCACTCCGACTCCCACTCTGACTCCGACTCTGACCCCGACTCCGACTCTCACTCCGACTCCCACTCTGACTCCGACTCCGAAGAGCAGGCAGCGGCGTTGGAGCGCCGGCCTCCCGCCACTCACAACGCGTGCCGTATCGCAGGCGGCGTTACACAACCCATTACGGTACGAGTGCCGCGGCGAGGCCGTCTTAGATAGTCGCTACCTGTGGCGCTGTCGGCAGGGGGTGATAACAGCAGCGGGGGGAGCGTGGTTCATGCAGATTCACACACTCTCTCGCTCCTCGCTCTACGCCTCTCGCTCTCGCTCTCGCTCTCGCTCTCGCTCTCGCTCTCGCTCTCGCTCTCGCTCTCGCTCTCGCTCCTCGCGCTCGACTCTCTCTCGCTCTCGCTCTCGCTCTCGCTCTCGCTCTCGCTCTCGCTCTCGCCTCCGCTCTCAGCCTCTGCGCTCTCGCTCTCGCTCGTCGCTCTCTCTCTCTCTTCTCTCTCTCTCTCTCTCTCTCTCTCTCTCTCATCCTCTCTCTCTCCTCTCTCTCTCTCTCTCTCTCTCTCTCTCTCTCTCTCTCTCGTCTCTTCCTCCCTCTCTCTCTCTACTCTCTTCATCCGCTCGCTCTCGCTCTCTCAATCTCACTGTGAGATCTGCATTCTAGCCTGATACAGCGCTTCTCACTTCATGCAGTATTAAGGTTCAGCAGAGCGCCAGCGACGACTGGTTCCACCTCTGGCGGCGGCCTCACTAACCTTGAGGTTCTTGCTCTGGGCCCAGATGGCGCCATCGACGCCGGCGATCAGTGCGTCCCGCACCATGTTGGTGGAGATAAGCTGCTTGCTGATGTAGTCCTGCCAGGACATGGCGGAGCCACTGCCGTCTTTCCTTCGGATTTCCCTCGTTAGGTGACCGCCGTTGGCGGCGGTTTCTCACGTTTCTCACGTTTCTCGTTTCTCTTCTCGCGTTTCTGACGCGGCAGGCTCCGAGACTGGCTGCCTCGCTGCTGTCTCTCGAGGCGGGGACACACTGCCCCAGAGCCGGAGAATTCCACGGTCGTGAGGCCGAAGGAGGGGCGTTTCTGGCGACAGGTCTCTCACAGGTCACGACCTGTGAGACGGCTGCGCCGTCCCGACCTCCACTCTGCCTCCCGGCGTCCGCTCGGTCTCTGAGAGACGCGGCGGCGCGCAATCTCACGTGAAGACGACTGCGGCGTCTCGTGGCCGTGCCCGTCTCTCCGCAGAGCTGGGTCGACCTCACAGGAACGGCCGGGGTGTCTGGGCGCGGTAGAGGACCAGGCGCGGTGCGGTGGACCTCCTGGCGCGATCGAGAAGCGCTAGGCCGTGCGGCACTGCGTACCCTACTTACGAACTTTCGACGCGCCGCTGTGGCTGCTGGAATCAAGGCCGTGTAACCAGGTCTGGGATTGTTTTGTCAGGGAGTTTTTTGTTGGCTGATTTTGCTGCGCGTGGTAACGTTCGTGGGATTCCTCCGTTGATTGATTTTCACGGCGTTCTGTTTTCAGTGCGCGCCTCGGTCAATAGGTTCTCCTTAGTCCTCGACATGTTGCGCGCTGTACGCCTTGCACTCTAGCGGCATACTGCGCTAAGCTTTGTGAGTTAGCGCACTATGCTGCCAAAGTGACCAAGCTCCTCCGCCCCCAGTCCTCTTCCCACGTCCAGCTTGACGTGGGAAGATCTGCTGGACCCTGTCTACCATCACTGGACTCTGACTACGTGGTGGTGACAGTGGCGGTAGACAACGTTGTGGTGGTGGACACCATGTGGTGGTTTCCCGTGGGGCGATAATCGGAATGGTGCCTGGCAGGCAACCCCAGTCAGCTCAGCCACCCCGCCTCTTCCATCACCGGAAGACTTCGCGCCTAGCGGCCGTTGTCGCTCTGATTGTCGACGAAGCCGATCTCCAAACGGGACGTGTCGCCCGTGTTTCTGGGTCGAAGAGGATGTGACATAACCTGGTGTTCGTGTTCTGTTGCAGGGAAGAGAACATCCGCCGCGTAGCCGAGGTGGCCAAGCTGTTCGCAGATAGCGGGGTGGTGGCCCTCTGCAGCTTCGTCTCGCCGTACGCCAAGGTCAGTCTCCTCAGCGATATGACGCGAAGTTCACGTCCTGATTCGTCTCCTTGCTGTGACGAGGGTGGTCCCTTCACTTTCGTTTTCAGCTATCAACATCAGCCCCTCGGGCAAACCCCATCCGTTACTGTATCGTCACTGCACAGGTGTTTCCACCACAAATGTTTCTTCACTTTCGTCACCGCGACTGTGGCGTTGTTGACAATGTTAGCTTGTGGCTACTTCGTCTCCCCTTTCCGAAGACCGCTTTCTTCAACTTCGGGCATTCAGTTCCGTTTTCCGTGCCGCCCAGACTGCTTTTTTCAGCCTCGTCGTGCTTGACGCCCTTATTTTGTCCTTGCAGATCCGTTGGGTGTTTGAGCTGCGAAATGTCGCGTGTGTGTAGTTGCTATTTATGCACGGAACAATGTACGTTAAACATTTAATTAGTTATCCACGGAACGAGGAGCCGATGACAAATGTTGTGTTGGCACATCATTGCGCTTGCCTCATGCTCTCAACGATTAAGTTTTATGTGAAGTGCTTGACGCTGCATTACGAGAAGGCGACGTGACGTTTCTTCTGACGTCACAAACAGCCAGTGACGTATGCTTTTCAAGGTGACGTGGTATGTTTGTGTGACGTCACATGACCTGACGGGGCGCATGCGTGTGTGACCGGACGTCTGGAAAGTGACGTATGCGCCGCATCACAACACTTCGAGATGGCGCGTGTGACATGGATGCACCGATGACCTGTCCACCTGTGACGTCACAGGACCGCGACGTGGCGCGGAAGCTGCACGCCGACTCGAATCTGCCGTTCTACGAGTGTTTCGTCGACACGCCGCTGGCAGTGTGCGAGACGAGGGACGTCAAGGGCCTCTACAACAAGGCGCGCCAGGGGCTGATCAAAGGTGCGCCGTCGGTGTGTCTACTGGCCCATTACACTGACCTGTTATACTGTGTCTACTGACCTGCTACACTGCGCCTGCTGACCTGTTACACTGCGTCCGCTGACCTGTTCCGCTGTGTCTACTGACCTGCTCCGCTGTGTCTACCGACCTGTTCCGCTGCGTCTACTGACCTGCTCCGTTGTGTCTACTGGCCTGTTACACTGCGCCTACCGACCCCTTCCGCTGTGTCTACTCGCCTGTTCCGCTGTGTCTACCGACCTGTTCTGCTGTTTCTACTGACCTGTCTCGCTGTTTCTACCGGTCTGTTCCGCTGTGTCCACTGACCTGTTCCGCTGTGTCTACTGACCTGTTCCGTTGCGTCTACTGACCTGTTTCGCTGTTCCCACCGGTCTGTTCCGCTGTGTCTACTGACCTGCTCTGCTGCGTCTACCGACCTGTGTTGGTTTGTCGGCAGGTTTCACCGGAATTGATGCGCCCTACGAACGCCCTTCGAAGCCCGATATTACCCTGTACACGGACAAGTGCAGCGTCCAGGACTGCGTGGACCAGATGGTGGAACTGCTGACCTCGCATGTAAGAGCCGATCCTACCTGCTTACATCGCATACAAGAGCGAGACCCGGTTCCTGTTGTTGACATTGCGTAACAGCGGTGATTGACACGCGTGGAGTCTTAGAGTTACGGGCTGAGAGATACGTCAACGCCATTGCAATGGTCGGTGAACACACGTAAACCCGCGTTCTCATCTTACACCTGAACCTGCTCACTGGTGCTCACCAAACGTGACTGCCTGGCACTAGTACTCCCATAATGCGCATAAGTCGCCCGCCACCATTTTCCACAGACGGAAAACCGCTCTTCGGATACGTTGATCCTGTGCTGGTTCTCACCTTACACTGATATGGGTGCAGGCTCGTGCCGGTTCTCACCTTACACTGATATGGGCTAAAATCGTGCCGGTTCTCACCTCACACTGATATGGGTGTGGCCTCGTGCCGGTTCCCACTTTACACTGATATGGGTGTAACTTCTTGCTGATTCTCACCTTACACTGATATGGCTGTAACATCTTGCCGGTCCTCACCTTACACTGATAAGGGCGTTACTTCTTGTCGATTCTCACCTTACACTGATATGGCTGCAACCTCTTGTCGATTGTTACCTTACACTGATATGGCTGTAACCTCTTGCCGATTCTTACACTGATATGGCTGTAACCTCTTGCCGATTCTTACACTGATCTGGCTGTAACCTCTTTTACACTGATGTGGCTGTAACCTCTTGCCGGTTCTCGCCTTACATTGATATGGGTGTAGGGTGTAACCTCTTGCCGATTCTCACCGTACACTGATGTGGTTGTAGCATCTTGCCGATTCTCACCGTACACTGATATGGAAGTAACCTCGTGCTGATTCTCACCTTACGCTGATTTGGGTGTATCCTCGTGCTGATTCTTACCTTACTCTGATGTGGGTGTAACCTCGTGCTGATTCTCACTTTGCACTGATAAGAGTGACAGCACTTTGACTCACGTGCTGTCGATGGTGCTGGTATTGTGGTTAAAGCGTCTGCGTTGACCAGTGCGCGCCTAGGAAATCAGAGCTACTGTGTTCGATTTCCCGCGGTGCCCGCGGTTCCTGGCCGTGTGTGACGCAGCGATGCCATATAGTCTCAGCAGCTGAGACACTCAAGGCGATGTCACTCTCCTCACGTGAGGTTTCGCATCGACTGAGGCTAAGCTTGCGTTGAGAAAGCGCTGTCAATATCTGTTGTTTGACTCACGCGTCGGACAGTCAAACTGGGTTGCCCTTCAGGTTATTATATAAGTATTATTTATTGTTATTATAAGTATATTATTACGTATTACGCATGCCCACGATGGCGAAGAGTGTGTCGTGGTTGCTCTATTAACGGTGGACGACTATACCCAGTTTGGTTGGTGGTCGTTCGTGCTCATTTTTCGTTCGCCGTCGTCTCGATAACCCTGGGGCTCTCTTTTTAGGTATCGCTCTTCACATAAACTATGATAGCTGGGCTCTCTAAATACAAATGCAGCTGCTAAGGTCATTAGCATTGTCACAGCATGGCGGAAACCCGCACGACGAAAGTTTCCCGAGGCCGGAATCGAACCCAGACCTCCCTCTAGAACCGGCTGCCCAAACCGCCGGGCCACGCGCCCCCCACCCGGTCCGGCCGCCAGCGTGCCCGGGGTTACCATACCCTTCCGTCGCGCCCTCCGGCGGTCACGTGGCCGTTCCCGCGCGGGCAGAGGTCGGTCGAGGTCAGCGGGGGTCAGGCAGGTCGCCCCGCTGCGGACGATCAGACGGACCGGCTCCACCTGAAAGAACGCACTCAGCGCGGCGGAGCGTGACACCATGCAACCGGGCGCGGCCGCGCCCGACGCCGACTCGGTGTCAGCTGACACCGCGTGTCATCGGGAGCCTCGTGACCCTCCCTCGCGGTCGTGGTCGTCACCGGGCGCCCACCGCCGGCAGGGTATCGTGCCGCGCTCGGCGAGCCAGGCGATCGGCGAACTCTTCGTGCCGGCGGAGGAGCTGGCGGCGGCACGCGAGGAGGCGGCCGCCCTGCCCGCCGTCGACATCTCCACAGTGGACCTGCAGTGGGTAGGTGGAGCGGTGGAGTGTGGAGAGGTGGAGCGGTGGAGTGTGGAGAGGTGGAGTGTCGGTGGGTGAAGCAATGGAAGGTGGATCGTTGCAGCGGTGGGACGTGGAACTGTGGAATGGCGGAGTGTGGATCGATGGGAGGGATGTGGAGCGTTGGAGCACTGGAACGTGGAGCGGTGGAACAGTGGGATGTGGATTGGTGGAGGTGCCGTCTCCAGTTGAGTCGTGCTCCTCGCCCAGATCACCGTGCGGATCACGTGCTCTGCGTGAGCCAAATGATTTTACTCTAGAGCTAAGGCTGGTTTGAGGTTTCAGTTTGATTGCTGTGAAAATCCAGAGATGACATGGTTTCAGCACCGCCTGAATATGGGCTCCCCGTGTAGCTTTCTGGGATTGGTGAGAGCAGTGCACCAGTGGTGTCTGATCATGAGATTTCCCGATCAACAGACCCTTCCCGTTATTAGTGCGTATATTAACCCAACCCGGCATCACCGTGGCTGGCCGGCGATGTGACGTCACGGCTGTTGGTGTGACCTCACGGCTTTCGATGTGACGTCACGGCTGACGGTGTGACGTCACGGCTGGCGGTGTGACCTCACGTGTTTCGATGTGACGTCACGGCTGACTATGTGACACCCAAGCTTACAGTGTGACGTCACGGCCGACTGTTGGCTGTTGCAGGTGCAGGTGCTGGGGGAGGGCTGGGCACCCCCGCTCACCGGCTTCATGAGGGAGCGTGAGTTCCTGCAGGTACGTGGACCGTGCAGGGCCGACGGGTCTCGCCTCCGCA